TTTTGACGTTTGTACTTATGTTTAGGCAAGCTAGACCTAGCCCTGGGTAGGGATGGTCTAAAATGATGCCGTATGTAACTTTGTTCAAAGCAGACTGGGTACACCCTAGGGTTAGGGCAACCCAGTCTTATGCGCTTGTTGTCAGTTAGGCATATGCCTTATGTGTATATTTCATGTTATGTTGGGCACACCCTAGGGTTAGGGCAGTCCAAATGTGCGTGCCTTACTTGTGTACCTAGGCAGGTCAGGCATACCCTAGGGTTAGGGCCTTCTCTGACCGTATGCCATAGGAAAGGGGGATGTAAAAGGGAATAACGAGGTTTTTGAATGAACTATGAGGTTGAAAGAAACCTGAGGGTTGGTGAGAGATGTTCGTTGTGATTGTTTGTGTGTGTGTTTGCGGGCTCTCACTCTGAAGCATCTTTTGATAGGGTTAGTTGTTTTAGATGCTCGCTGAGTGCTGGAGCGATAGGCATATAAGATGGATGATGGGAGAGAAGCTTGGGATGAGATAGGACTTGACTCTTCTAGGAGTTAGGATCAGTGCTAGCTCACGCTCTCATCTGGAGGTCGTGCAGACTATCGCTGATTCTACCTTCCAAGTAAGCGTCAGAAGTTAGTCCCAAGTATAGTTTTGCTTTGTCCTTTTATTTTAAGCTTTGTATAAATCTTGGCAGCCTCCTTTTCCTACGGGAGTCGCTGCCGAAATTTCTACAAATCTGAAAGAGTTAGTCATTTTTGGACTTTTAGAAATTATGAAAAGACACTTTTCCTACGGGAAGCGCTGCCGAAATTTCGTAAAATTCGAGGAGTTAGAATAAATTTCTGCTAGGAGAAACTTGGCAAATCCACCCCGAGTAGGGGAGATGCTGCCGAATTTCTCAGTGACTTGGCACTAGTAAGGGAAGTTGAGCATGAGATTAATAGAGGGGCTAGGATACGAGCTAGAAAGTACTCTCCATGTGGGGTAAACGTAGTAGTGGTTCTTTTTTGGCCTGTACTATGATGCAGGTCTCTGTGATTCGATTGAACGCTTGAATTGGCCAGCCTAATCCTGTTGAGGATTACTCTTCTGTTATCACTGATAACAGGTTGGTTGCCGATTCGTCGGTTTACGAATCAACTTTCCTACTACTTCTGCTTCTCAACCTAAGGCCTTAGCCCTTACTGGGTTTTATGTTTTCTTGGGTTTTCACCCAGATTCTTTATAAATGGCCATTTCTTTAAGGACTGAGTATCTTTGTTCTGGAAAGGTGGGGAAAAGGTTGGGCTTGTGTGCGTAATGCAGGGTGTGAGATGCAGAAGACTGAAAAGTTGACCCCTTTAGTATGTGTGATGCCGTTTGGATTTTGTGCATGATTGCAGGTATGTGTGAAGAAGCCTCGATCGAATTGATGGTTGGTTGTGAATTGGATTAACATGGGTAAACCACACTACTGTCGTGAGAGTGAACCACCACACATCCTTTTGCTTGTCTGACTGAGATTGCTTCTCTCCGTCTCGATATCGTGAATATTCTAAGTAAGCACACGTTCGAATAACCCTCACAAGGTTATGCGACCGCGCGCTTACGTTTTTTTTTATTCGCTTTGACTTCGTGTGGTAGGGCAGTTGTCCCAAGCCTGAAAACCAAAATCCTTGTCCGGGACGTTTCAGGCCCCAGACTAACATTGAAGGTATTTTCTTTCGATAGTGTTAAGAGGATTCGTTCTTCATCCTTGTTGAGGTTATTTTGGTGGAACGATAAAGTTCCGGGCGGAAGGATTAGCGTGCCGCTGGTGATGCGCCAGACAACTCACCACCCCTCCGAATTCCTTCCTGCCCTAGGGACCATCTTACCCCGCACCCTTTGGGGCACCTTAGGGTGCAAAAGATGGTAAGGCCCTCAGGCCGGTCTTGTGCTTGCTAAAGGTTTACCCCCCTTAGCGTGCGCTTCAGCCAACGCCTGAGTATCCAGAGCGACCCCATGGCTCAAAAAGAGGCCACTCGTGTATAGGCATCACATAGTGCGCTGACATCATGACTCTGTGTGCAAATCCGCATTGTTGGTGGATATGCGTGGGTCCTGCATCCGCACGACCTTATACTAAACCATACGCGCAACGCTTATTGACTTCCGCGCTCTAAAGTTATGGGTCAAGCGGAGAAAGCAAAAGCACGTTATGGCCAGTAGGCCCGAACCTCGGCCGTGCGAAGCGACGCGTAGGCAGGGAATCATCCCTAATCGGCCTATGGGGCGCCGCGTACAAGTCTCCAACATCTCGAAAGTCGGGCGACCTACGGGCCTGATTTTGGGCCTTACCCATGCACACTCTTCGCGTTGGCCTACCCCTTCCAGTTGGGACGGCTATCACACTATTTGCAGTTGCTTCCTCCTTTAAGATATCATGGTTGGACGTTGTAGTCCGTGGTAGCTGTCAAAGTCAAACCCCTTGATTTTGGCTATTACGACAGCTCTGAAGCTGTCTACTCAACCCCTCGGCACAGGGTGCAGAAGAGGGTGTGGTCTTCAACCGCACATGGCGGTTGTCTGGCGTCGAGAGATTACCCCTCAAAGCGCCTGTCAGACGACACTTGAGTGTCGAACGCGACCCTCGAGATTATCAAGGGCCGCGAGGCTACGAGTATCACATATTACCCCAACAACGCAAATGCTTGCAAATGCCCGCATGGCTGGTCGATATGAGGAGGTCATGCGCGCGCACGACTCTTATACGAAAGTCCAGCGCGCGGAACCTACCCGATTCTCGCGGCATAAAGTTATGGGTCGGATCCTGAAGGGACTAGGAGTGTTGTGATGTTGTGTTTGTTTTGTGTTTTTCCATGTGTTATGTGTGGGTAGATGTGAGTGTTGTGGCGTAACGCGTGGTGTGTAGGGTGCGTCCTAGTCGACCGACGCCGGGTCGCGCTTGGGACTTCAGCCCCCCAGTGCGTCGATTCGCGTGCGGGTTCGATTTTTGGGCGTTCAACCGCGCGTAACCCCCTATGCTACAGCGAACAAACGCCCTCGGCTGGGCCACCTCTGCAATTGCATACGAAAAACTTTCACATGTGGTTCAGTAGCTCGGCGGGGATACGCCCACCTAAGGGATGGTGACAGCTCCCACAGGTGGAGGTAACGCGGTGCCTCGCGTGGCTCTGTCCTGTCGCAGTGACTCGCGAGAGGTACGGCTGGCGCACTCGGCCGGAGCGGCACCTCGCTCTCCGCGACGGAAGTCCTGCCAAATCCTGCGTGACGCGGTCGGGAGGGTCCCCTTGCGGGACCTATGCGCTCGACAGCGCGACCAGTGCCACGTCAGCAGCAGAGATAGGTGGCATGCGCAACTCCCTCAACTCTCTTGCATAGCGCAACTCCCTCAAATCTCTGGCATGGCGCAACTACCTCAAATCTCTGGCAGAGCGCAACTCTCTCTCTCGCGCGCGCACAAGTGCACTAGCACTTCCACATTGTAATGCGAATGAGCATCTGCCGGAATGGGAGACTGGTCAGCCTTTTATGATGCTGGACTGGTCTTCCTGCGCCTGCCTCCAACCGAATTGTGCCTGGCATCCTGGGACCGCATGCCCACTGCCTGTTGCTACGAAGTGTAGTCCCAATACCTTTCCCATGGTAGCCTGGGACCACATGCCCACTACCTGTTGCTGCGAAGTGTAGTCCCGGTACCTTTCCCATAGTGGCCTGGGACCGCATGCCCATTGCCTGTTGCTGCAAAGTGTAGTCCCAGTCAGGGTTGTCGACCCCCGGCTGGGGTCCCGGGGGTCGGAGGTCGGCACCCCCGACCCCGACTTTCAAAAAAAAAAAAAAAAAAAAAAAATC